TGCTGCCTTGTAGGATTGTGTAGGAACTGACTTTTGACTTTTTTCATACTTTTCAGCTGTTACTGCTCTCTTATCCATTAAGTGTTTAGTTTAGGAGAGCAGTGTGTTTTAAGGATGGTGGTTGTAATAGGCACTTTTCCATGATGTTTTTTTCTTATGAGATTTTTTTTTTTCAAATTGCAGAGGCTGTCTATTCTATGGTCCACCAGGGACTGGAAAGACACTGGTTGCTCGTGCACTTGCAAATGAATGTAGCAGAGGTGACAGGAAAGTAACCTTTTTTATGAGAAGTGCTGCCGACTGCATGAGTAAATGGGTAGGAGAATCTGAACGACAGCTGCGTTTAGTATTTGAGCAGGTAAGTTTGAAACGTGCCATGTATTCTGTTCGAATTGTCATTAATTTTCTGTGGTTGAGAAGAACTCATTCTTTTTCATGTTTTTTCAGCTCCTTCCACTGAAGTTCCACTGGGATTGTCAGTGTTTCCTTTTTCAGTGGGGTTTTTAGGGGCTTGATATCTTGAGATATATTGGGAAAGATTAGTAAAGCAAGTAAGAAAATCACTACCATCACCACCCTCAAAAAAACCCCAACCATAATTTACAAACCAAACAGTCACAATAAAGGTTTTAAGAAGCAGGAGATGATTGCTTTAGATCAGAGGGAAACAGATGCCGGCTGAAAGCATATTCATTTAAATTGGTAATGGAAGGTTGCTTCCAGAACCTGTAACTGAGTTAAGTCCTGTATCTGTTCTTGATGGTTGCCAAATAGCTGTAAAAACTACTGGTACAATTCCTTTCCTGGCTGCTGTCTTCTGTTACTTGTGCCACTTTATTTCATTAGCTCAATTAATAGAGATCCCTGATGCTAGTCTGAAAATCTATTTCCAATGCCTTTCCAATCACAGTTTTTTTCATACATTTTCTCTTTCAAATAGTTCTGTTTTCCTGATGTCAATATTCCTGCATTTTCATTGCAGGCCTACCAGATGCGACCTTCAATTATTTTCTTTGATGAGATCGATGCTCTTGCTCCCACACGGTCCAGTAAACAAGACCAAGTTCATAGGTAGGACATGTTTTGTATCTGCATAGAAAACTGCTTGATCTTTGTGAAAGGAAGACCACAACCTGTTTAACTTGATGTGACACATCCGTTTATCCTGAAAACTAGTGCTATCGAATTTCAGATGATTTTTAAACAACAATAAGCAAAACCAATTTGCTAAGCTTGAGATTAACACAAGCTCTGTGTTATGTCTTAAAACAAGCCTTTTGCTGATCAGCATCTCATCAATAATGGGTTATCCTTTTGGAGGGATCAATGAAGAAAGTTATGTGGAACTGAAGAATATTTACTAAACTCATGAATAAAAATTATATTTTTCTGTTAGCTCTGTTGTGGGGACACTTCTGACACTTATGGATGGCTTAGCCAGCAGAGGAGAGGTTGTGGTAATTGGTGCCACCAACAGATTGGATTCTATAGATCCTGCTTTACGAAGACCCGGCCGCTTTGAACGAGAATTCCGTTTCAACTTACCAAACAAAGAGGTCAGGACTCAGTCGTAATGCTTATGTGTCAGCTCCAAACTCCTGTAACAAGGCAGCATCATGGAGCAGTGCAAGTCTCCATCAGTAGTGTACAGCTTGGACAAGAGAAGGCCGTCTGGAAAGATTGCATTGTGCTGTAGAGGGCAGAATTGGTAGTGAATATATATGAATAACATGATTTCAACAAGTAGTTTTGGTTTCACTGTGACCAACAAAGAAAATGGCATGTTTAAGAAAAAATGAATGTATGAATTAGTTTTGAAGTACTGCTGTAGCCTCTTGAAGGTGAAAGAAGTGGTATTCACACAAGAATTACTTTTTGGTAACCAAAGCTTTGATCAAGGCTTGTGCTGGAGTGAATTCTTACTGGTACTTTTTAACAGGGACTTGGACTAAGATGTGAAGCACACTGCAGAGGTGCAGGGCTTGGCAAGCTTTTAGTTCAATGGCAATAGCTAAACAATGAAGAAATTCATTTTATAGCAACCAAAAAATATTGTGGTGGGGATGGGATGGGAGGGAGATAGCACGCAAAACTGGAACCCTGTTTTTGTGGGTTTTCGCTTGCTATCACTGATATTTCATAGCACTTTTTGGAAAAAGGATAAAAGGTTTATTGGACTGAAAGCTAGTAGAAGTGCACTAAGCAGTGCATTAGCACAAACATTTGTATCCAGTTTTTATCTGCCCTCAGGAACAGGAGACGAGGTGCCATGAAACAGATCTAATACACAATTCTCTACTGTGGAAGAATATTAGAAATCTGCCATAATTAATCGGTGTATCAGGAAATAATTCAATTAAAGTCTTGCTAAGATGAGAGATGAGGATAGGCAATGCATGACATTTTCTGGATGAGTGACAGTGGTTTGAGTCATACTTTTTGTTCTTGGTAGTAACCGTAGCAATTGGAAATGGAGTGCTAGGGCTGTTTTCCTTGAATGAACTAGCAGAAAAGCAAATTTGGTGAAATAATGAAACCATCACCATGAAATTTTGCTAAATTTGAGAGAATTTTCTTTGACGTAAAATCTCCGTTTGCAGATAGGCTTTTACTATAATTGTTTCTTTATTAGGTCTCACACTTGTGAAACTCAGTTTTTATGGAAGATGTACATGCCTTTTATCTCACCGCATCCCCCAGCAAGAGTTTAATGTAACAGTCTGAGAATTATTAAATTTCCTGCTTGAAGAAGCAATGAGAGCATTAATAACTGACCTTTAAAATATGTAGAGGTTTAGCAGATAAGAAAAGTTTTTGTATTAGTCTGAGGATTTGGGGTTTTTTTGTTGTGGTTGTTTTTTTAGGAGAAAATTTAGGGCAAACTAAAATGCAACCATTTTATTACCAGGCGAGACAAGAGATTTTCAAAATTCACACACGAGACTGGACCCTAAAGCCATCGGACAACTTACTTGAAGAGCTGGCTGAGAAAAGTGTCGGTGAGTTTGAAAATAGCGCTGGTCCTTTTCCCCATGGCAGCCTCTCTTCTCCCAGCCTGTAGAGCTGCATGGGTTGTTGTGACCAAAGTTCAGGACCCAGCACTTTGCCTTGTTGAACCTCTTACAATTGGCCTCAGCCCATCAACCCAGCCTGTTGAAATCTGTCTGCAGAGCCTTTCTGCCCTCCAGCTGATCAACACTCCTACCCAACGTAGTGTTGTCCATGTTATTACTGAGATTTCATTCAATTGTCTCATCCAGATAACTGGTAAAGATATTAAAAAGTACTTGCTTCAATATTGAGCATTGGGGAACATCACTAGTGACTGTCTGACAACTGGATGTAGCATCATTCACCAACATGCTTGGCTTGGTCACACAGTTTTTAACTTATATATATATATTGACATTGTGTTTGATTCTTGTTTTGTTTATTAGGATACTGTGGTGCTGACATTAACGCCTTATGTGTTGAAGCTGGCCTCTGTGCTTTGCGCCGCCGCTATCCTCAGATACATGAAAGTGACAAGAGACTGAAGATAGATGCCACTTCGATTAAAGTAACAGCAAAGGATTTTGCCATGGCCATGCAGAAGATTGTTCCAGCTTCACAGAGAGCTGGGACTTCACCTGGTCGAGCGCTACCACCTATATCAAAGCCACTGTTAGAAAACACTCTGGAAAGAATTTTACAAGTCTTGCAGAGAGCATTTCCCCATGCAGAGCTTGCACTGAAGAAGGACCAAGGTATAACAATAACATCTACTTGTTTAACATTCTGCCAAGGCTCATACATAAACCTCTCAGCCCTAATGACAGCACAGTTTTATACTTTGCAGGTACAGAGTGCAGGAAGGGAGCTGTGAATGACTGGCAATGTGCTGTAGACAACTATGCATTCTCCACTGGAGCCCCCTGTTTCTGACAATAGCTAACATCTCATTTACCATTTTAGAGATGGATATAAGGTTTCACGTATGAGGCACCTCCTTCCAAATAATAGAATCATAGAATGGGCTGTGTTGGAAGGGACCTTAAAGATCATCTAGTTCCAACCCCTCTGCCATGGGCAGGGACATGTTTCAGACTAGGTTGCTCAGAGCTCCTGAAGAGAGCCTTGAACACATTCAGCCTGGCCTTGAACACTTACAGAGATGGAGATTCATTCTGGGCAACCTGTTCCAGTGCCTCTCCACCCTTACAGTAAAGAATTTTTCCTAATATCTAATCTAAAGCTACTTCCTTTCAGTTTGAGGCCATTTCCCTTGTCCTGTGATTACCTGTAAGAAGTCCCTCTCCATCTTTCTTGTAGGGTCCCTTCAGGTACTGGAAAGCCAAAATTAGGTCACCCTTAAGCCTTTTCT